TGGCCTGCTGTGTTCATCCAGCTTTAAACCTCGTTGTTGCGGTTTACAGTAGTTGGGATCTCCATAGCCAGGGCTCTTGATCCTGGGAAAAAGCCTGCTGGTGGTCTCACCTCAGCCTGATTTGTTCATGGTCCAGCAGGTTTTCCCCAAGGGACACTCATTTGCTGGTCTGTTACCTATGGATGAGATTTGGCCTTGTGTCAACCGAAATTAGGAAGGTGCAGCTGATGACAGGACAACTTTGGCACTCCAGTGATGATCTAAATTCCAGACTGTGTAAAGTTTTCTTATCTGCTTATGGTTGATCCTGTGCAAGGCTTTAGATTACTAGATACAGTATCATGGAGAATGCAACTGTTGGGAATAATGGAAAGATGTTTGTGGACTGAATAAACTTGCACAGGATGCTAATATGCAATGATTTCAAGCAAACACAAATTGCAGATGAGGACTCACAAGACAAGGGACCCACATCTTCAGGTTGTACCTAACATAAAATTAAAGATGTCTCTAACGGTATGGAGACCTGAAGCTAATTCTGAAACGCTGCTTCAAAAGCCTTTGGAGACTTCTTAAATTTTCTTGAGTTCTTTTGAATCCTTCTTTAGTTAAGAAGACATAATTAATCATTTTAATTAATAGATCTTCCTCAATTATTTGACTCATCCCTTAGAACTTCTGGTATGGATACTTACATATCTACCTGTTCAAGCATGAAATGACACACCTCTGGTGCAGGTGGGACCTGAACCCAGGCCTCCCAGCCCAGAGCTAGGAACACTACCACTGAATTTGTTGCCTATGCCAGCAGCATTTCAAACTGAATATCAAAGACAAGCCAAGTATTCAGGCCAATTAGGTTAGAGAGATGTGAAGGAAACAAAAGTGGGCTGGGGAAGGGAAGAAGGTGAATTGGGAAATGACAGAGAGTGGAAGAGGGAGGGATAGGAGCAGTAAGAGGGGAGTGAGGATCACACAGAGTCCAGAGAGGGATACAGACAGGTTAAGCGAGTGGGCAAGTAAGGACAGATGGAATACACTGTTGGAAAATGTGACTTTGACAGGAAGGTGACAGGAGTTGAATATTATTTGTATGGAGAAAATCTGCAGAAAACAATGGAACAGAAGGATTTGGGACCCATTGTGCTTAAATCTCAAAAAGCTAGCTTTCAATCTCCACATGTTATAGGGAAGGCAAATGGTATGTTTGCCTTTACTTTAAAACAAATGAAATATAAAAATAGAGAAGTTGTGCTAATAAACTGCAAGGCCCTTGTAAGACCAATCTTGGAATACTGTGAACAGGTTTGGGTCCCTGAAGAAAGATATATTGGTATTGGAGATAGTCCAGAGAAAATCACCAGGCCAATCCTGGGAATGGAGGGATTTTCTTAGAATGATTATACAATGTTATTGAAACCTGCAAGATTCTGATGGAACTTGGCAGGGTAGATGTAGGTGGTTTGCTTTCTCTTGTAGGGGAGTCTAGAACATAATAAAGATGAGGAGGAAAATTTTCTTTCAGAGGGTTGTAGAGACTTGGTCATTAAGTATATTCAAGACTGAGATAGACAGATTTTTAATCAGTAAGAGAATGAAGGGTTATGGGGAAAAGGAAGGAAGTTGAGGATTATTGGATCTGCAATGATCTCATTGAATGGTGGAGAAAACTAAATGAGCGGAATGGCCTACTTGTGCTCTTACATCTTAAGGTCTTAAGACAGAGAGGAAGCAAGAGAGTGCAGCGGGAGAAAGAGTTGAAGGTGGAAGTGAGATGGAGGGGCAGAGGGAGCAGGAGGGAATTGGGGAGGGTACGGAAACAGAAAGAAGGGTATGAGATAGTGGTCTAGCTGGACAGAGGGGGAGAGGGGTGAAGGGAAAAGGGTGAAAAGCAGGAAGGAAGAGAAGAAGATGTGTGAGGAGGAAAAGTGGGGAAAAAGGAGAAGGCAGAGGGATTGCAATGGAAGGAATGCAGAGGAAGGGGGAGGAGGTGGGAGGGGGAGAGGGAGGAAGATGGGAAGATAGTTGGAGGAGGAACAAAGGGAGAGGGAATACGGGATTAAAAGAAGAGGGAGCACATAGGAGTTGAGGATTGGAGGGAGAAATAGAGATTCAGAGGTGGGGTGAGGAGAGGAGACAGTGGGGGAGAAAGAGAGATGTTTGGAGGAAAGGGGATGGGCTGCAGTTGGGAGAGAAAGATTGAGATACAGGGATATGGATTGTCCAATACAAAATTCCAGAACAATGCTGTGAGAAAAGGCTGGTGTATATTCAGAAGGGGTCAGAGTGCCAACTGGGAAAATAGTGGGGTTAGCGGTTAATGGCATCTTAAAGAAACAGAGAACCAAATGACCTGTAGTTTAATATCAGGGAGATACCTCTCTGCACTCAATGGATTTGTTCAGTTCTATAGCAGTATCCATTCTGCATTATCAGCTGGTGGGTGATTAGCAATATTGCATATTTATCAATGGTGACCAAAGGGATATTAGTGAAGGTTACAAATATCAAAAACAAATAACCCTACAGCAGTAACACATACTGCAGGTAAATACTGACAGTTCAGAATCAGGTTTTCCCATTGTCAAAGTTTTAGAGGTCTGTGGAAGAGCTACATGCATGAATATCATTTCAATGTAAATTTGTAGTAACTTTTATTTATCATGGGAATGACAATGTTCAAACACAGCTAAAAAGTGGCCAGTAACATTAGGATCGCATAACTGCCAAACTGACAAAAGAGAATTGACCAAATATCCTCTGATTTTCAGTGGCATTACCATCACTGAATCCCCCTCAATCAAGATCCTGGGGTTACCATTGACCAGAAACTGAACTGAATTAGCCTTGTGAATATTGTGGCTACAAGACTGGGTCAGCAGCTAGGAATCCTGCAGTGAATAAATCACTTCCTGACTCTTTAAGTCTCTGTCCATCATCTATAAGGCATAAGTCAGGACTGTAATGAAATACACATCACTTGCCTGGATGAGTGCAGCTCCAACAACACTCAAGAAGCTCAACACCATCCAGGACAAAGCAATTGACTTAATTGGCACCAGATCCACCACTGTGAACATTTATTTCCTCTAATGACCACAGGGAATGCCATCTACAAGATGCATCACAACACCTTCCAAACTGGCCACCTCTACCACCTAGATGGATAACGGCATCAGGAGCACAGGAATACCACCCCCTGCAATTTCTTCTCCAAGTTACATACCATCTAACATGAAACATTTTACCATTCCTTCACTGCCACTGGGTCAAAATCTTGGAACTCCCTCCCAACAATATTGTGGGTGTTGATACACCAAATGGCCTGCAGTGGTTCAAGAAGACAGCTCATCCACCACCTTCTCCAAGGTAATTACGGATAGGCAATAAATACTGGCCTTGACAGTGAAATGTACATTCCATACATCAATAGACAAGTGTAAAATAACAAAAGTAATGTCACAGTCTCCTGGTTGCTACAAACAGCTTGAGTTTCTTTTAAAAATATAAATTACTCACCCTTTTTGGACCAAACAAGTTGTGGTACAGAGTTCGAAATCTTTTCCGAGTGTAATTGCAACGATATGCACCTCCCATCAGGTTTTCAATCACCAATCCAATGTCAATTAAACTTATCCTGTAGTCAGGAGGGAGATTCCCCTACGGAAAACCGAGAGAACTTGTCTATTTAGGCAGAGAACTTGTATATTTAGAAACCACCAGGAGTGCAGCAGACACAAGCTAATGAATTATTATTAAATTCAACTGATGAGTTTAAAACAAATGAATGTTGTTAATGTGAAATGCATGCAATGGATTTTCACACAACCTATGTGTAAACTCTAGTTTAATAACAAATGTGTTTTGAATGCTAAGCAGATTTTAAGCCATTCACCTGAAAATAGATCCAGCTGAAAGCTTGATATTCCCGCTGGAGAGAACAAATAAGTTTAAATAAGTAACTGGTATATTTTATAGCACAAAAAATCTGCCTTCAATGATGATGGTATCAGAAGAATGAATTGGTATAAGTGTTTGACAGGGCTGTTCTCTGGCAATGGAGCTGTCACCTTAACCAGTTCATAAGAACATCTTTCTGCAGCAATACCTGTCTGTGGATTGCTTCTATTCAGTAAAATGGTGTTGATCAGGTGTGTTAAAAACATTGTCATTCTGTGATTTATGTGCAATGCACCCTTGACACCTTTTTGATTCTCAGTAGTGCCTTCAGGACATTAATTTGGAAAGCTGAAACAGTTATTAATGCTAAAATATTGAATCAATTTCCAGTGACAGGGCTTTTAATTCTGTTGTTCATTTATCATCCTCATTCAATTATGACAAGCTTGTCTGCAATGTTTCTTACAGCTCTTGTAAAGTAGCCCGTGTATCACACTGCTGGAAGCTTCCTGTACTGGCGTTATGAGTTCTGGCTTTAAAGCACTGCTCTTCACACTAATATAAAACATAATGAAGGCAAATACAGATCAAAATACATTTCCATATCCTAACTTGAATTAAGCTCTGTTCATTGGTCATTCCTGTGCTCACTAATGTATACTGGCTCCCAGTCTGGCAATGCCTTCATTAGAATAAATCCTAACCTTGTTTTCAAATCTCTCTGTGGCCTCCTTGCCCCTCCCTATCTCCTTTATTGCTTCCAGTGCTACATCCCTCTGAGACCTCTATGCTCCTCTAATTGTGGCCTGAATGTAATGGTGCTTTTCATTTTTCCACCATTTGTAATCAAAATGACAAGCTTCAGAATTTTCTCTATAAACCTCAACAACTACCTTTCTCTCCTCCTTTACAATGCTCATTAAAGCCACCCAGGTCCAGAGTGTGAAGGAGAAAAACCATATTATTGGAATTGCCTTCAGCCCTTTGTGGAATGTACATTAAGTCCAATAATATTTTAAAGAGAAGTTTGTTTTGTTTTTCACTGCTACAGGCATTCTCAATTTGTAAGCAATTTGTTTAACAAGTCAAACAGGTAATCTTTCACCCTCTCCTCTATGCACTGTGCAGTTTCATAAAATCATTTTGACATAAGGGTTAGAGTAATGAAATTATTGAAATATGGACCAGTATGCTCAACTATTGAATTACTGTGAAAGTCGCTCCATGCTCAAACTAACTGGAATCTATCTTAAGTAACAGATGTTGAGACATTTATTTTTTGAGCAGTTATTTTGTAGGCTAGGCCACTGAGGTTAAATAGTCAAATACAATGGTACGGTTCAGTAGCACTTCTGCCTTTGAATCAGATTTTTGATTCAAGTTCCACCCAGGAGATTCAAGCACAAAATCCAGGCTGACTCACCCAGTGCAGGACTGAGGGAGTGCAGTGTTATCAGCAGCTGCTGTTTTTGAATGAGATGTTAACTATGATGTTGACTCCCCTCAGCGGTGGAAGTAAAAGATCTCATGGTATTATTTCAAAGAAGAAGGGAGTTTTCCCCTTGTGTCTTGTCCAGTGTGTATCCCTCAACCAATGTCTTTTGAAAGTCGGATTACACGTGCATTATAAAATTGATGTTTGTGAGAGCTTGCTCTGCACAAATTGGCTATAGCCATTATGATAACGACTACTCTTCAGAAAGTACTTAATTGGCTGAAAAGCTCTTTGGAATGTCCTGAGGTTGTGGAAGCTGCTTTACAAGTGCAAACCTTTCCTCAAGGGATAGAGGTTGCACCTTAAATAGGCTGAAGATCAAATCGAAACCTAGGAATTTATAAATATCTGTGAACACATACTTTACCCAATTAATATTTGTACTTTAGCAATCATATCATAACAACAAACATTTAAAGAGCAGATGTAACCACATGTTGCTTTCTGATTTTCTTGCTGTTGTTTGCCAACAGGAACAGTTTACAGAATGGGCACACTTTCTAACGAATCCATCAAACTGACACCAGTATCATTGAGGGTAACCATAGCACCTCTGCTGTGTGAACAATATGAACAGAAAATGATGGAAGATGAATATAAAACAATGCTGGTTCCACAATTACGTGATCAACCCTTCCTTCTGTGATCTGAATACCACTTTTCCCATCAACCTCAGGTCTGAAATGTCCCATGATTGCTGTGTCTAGTGACCTGATTGAAGGGCATTAGACTTCACTAGAGGATACATCTATTAAAAAAGTGGGTCGGACTTTGCAGTGTGTGGATGATGGAGGTTGAGTGGGAAATGAGTGACTTGCTCACTCCTGTCTCTGCCATTTTGGCTTGGCGAATCAATCAACAGACATCGAATTAGCAGCCACCCAATGGTAAGATGGTCAACTAGTCTTGGGGGTAAGGGGTGGTAGGCAGCTCCAGATCGATTGTAGGATCTGGGCCAGGATGTCAGGTAGAGGAGGGATCAAGCCATAGACCAGAAGTTGGTCATGACTATGAATTAAGGTCTCCTTGCCCTTTTACTCACTCCTTATTTGTTATGGAAACATAAAGAGAAGTGAATGAATAAAGACTGTTAACCTCTACCTGCTGCCACCTTCCCCAGTTGGATCCACTGCTTTCTAAGTAAGTGCTTTTTGATAGCACTGCTGTGCCTGTTCCATCACATTTATTGATTTGAGAGTAACTGAGGTGGCAGTAACAGCTGAATCTATTAAAAGCTCAACAGTTTGTTGTGTTTATTGGCAGGTGAACTTTCAATTTTGGCACTTGCTCACCTTCTGTAAGGCTGTATTTTATCTAAGTGCAGGGTTGGGCCAGGAAGAGGTGATCGCAGTCTGCCTGATTTGTGGCTGTAACATCAAGCCCAGCATTGTACAGTCATACTGGATTCACCTATGAGCTATTTAGGAAACAGAGGTAAAAATACCTTAATATTTATTAAAGAGAAAGGGTGATTTTTACCTTCTCTCTTGCCATGGGAAGTGTAAGGTGACATTGAATAAACTACGACTTGTTCATAAGTAGATTGTAACTGACTTTCACTGAGGATGTGACCATGTGGTCAGTCAAATTGTTGCTTCTGAATCATAAGCTGGAGGACCAGTTGCTGTGCGGACACTCTGGGCAACGTTGGAGAAGCTAATGGTTTTGAAAGTGTTAATCTTGGAGACTGCTTTAAGGCCTACCCAAACTGATGATGTCATAAGTACTTGGGTGGGGAAGGCAGAACACATCAAGATCTTGCAGGGTGAAGACCTACATCCATAAATCTCCCAATGATCTTAGTGAAGTGTGTAACCTGATTGCTATTATGTAATAAATTACATTTTGATTATGAAAGGAGTCTCGTCATAGTTTATAGAATCATATAGTACAGAAGAGGCCCTTTGGCTCATTGGGTCTGTACTATCAAAATATACACTTACCTATACTAGTCCCACCTTCCCCCAGTAGGCCCATTGCCTTGAATGTCGTGCTCAAATGCTCATCCAAGTCATTTTTAAAGGTTGTGAGGTTTTCTGCCTCAAATACTTTCCCAGGCAGTACATTCCAGATTCCCTCCCTCCTCTGGGTGAATAGGTTTTTCCTCAAATTCCCTCTAAACTTGCTGCTTTTCACTTTAAAATTATGCCCCCTTGTTATTGTCCCTTCAACAAAGGGGAACATCTGCTTTCTGTTCATCCTGTCCGTGCCTCTCATAATTATACATGAGGCAATCAGGGCCTCCCTCAACATTCTCTGCTGCATAGAAAACAACCTGAGCTTATCCAGCCTCCCTTTGTAGCTAAACCATCCTGGTGAATCTTCTTTGCACCCCTTCCAGTGCAACCACATCCTTTCTATAGTACAATGAACTGCACACAATACTCCAGCTGTGGCTTAACCAAAGATCCAGTTGAGACTCACACACAGTTTTCCTTTACCACTGCAAAACACAAAATTCCTTTATCCCATTTAAAGAAAGAGGGCAGTGGCAGCAAACTACTTCAATCTCATGTGATAATGATTGGCATCACAGCATACAACATGGTAGCAGCAGTGGGTATTGGTGCTAATTGCCACAAGGCAACAACAGGGAGCAATCCACTGAACCCAGGCACAGTACTCAACATTTACAGTTGTCAAGACTTTATAGCTTAAAGAACAACTCATACAGACAGTCAGTAGCTGCAGTAGGTCTACAGTCGGTCTACAGTCAAATAGCCTGCAGAGAATTTGTGGGATAATCAACAAGGAGAAACAATACTAAATGCTAAACCCAGGATTAGCCATGATGGCATAAGAAATTTCTTTCACTTGGCTAAATGAACCAAGAAACCAAAAGCAAACTCAAACATATTCAACAAGAACCAAAGGCTAACCAAGAATGTGCTACCATTCACCAATATTACTTCGGGTGGCCAGACCAAACATCCAGTGCGTTTACTGAAAACACACAGTTTGAGCACCGACAGCATTTCACAATCATAGACGTTTTACTAGTATATGACAGAAGACTAGTCATTCCAGCTTCCTTCCGGGAAGATATCCATGAAAGGATGCACCAAGGATCTTAGGGATTGTCAGGTTTCAGCTTAGTTAGCAGTGTGTGGTGACGACATGCTTTTCAGGAGTGGAAAACAGTCCCATCATCACTGAAGAAATTCTGATGACAGAAGTCAGCAAAGGTTGCAAGAAAACGAGGATAAGAGACAACCTATTTGAGCTCATTGATCAGTCTTTAACAGAAATTGTTAAGGCATCAACACAGCGTGGTGAACAGAATGTAATAACAGATTCAAATTTGATGTTAGATGATGAAACAATACAAGTTCAAGATGAATATTTCAGTTCTTCATCTTCTAAGGAAGAATTATGTACAATGGCAATAGTAAGTCAGCAGCTCCTCAAATAACATTATTGATGATTTGAACAAGTTGGGTTCCAAAATGAGAGAACTACGGAGGGCAAATGAAGATGGGCAATCTAATTTACAGATTGCAGCAAATACTTCAACACCAATGTATCAAAAGATTGAGAATAAAGATTTGTGTACACAGATTGTAGATGGCTGCATACAACTCCATGGGAGACACCCCTGAAGTGGGATGACCAATGTTGACGGATCCATACGCCTGTTCTCATTAAGACTCACTGGTTATTCTCCACTCCTGTAAACCAAGTAAGCCCTGCGACCCAATCAAGGAAATAGGATGAGTGGCAGCAAACTATCTGAACCAAAGGGTGGTAGCGGTTGGCATCCAATTTAACACATACAACAGGTAAGAGACACCACATGATATCACTGATACACATGGATCCAGAGGTTTCAGTTAGTCCCTCAAGCAAGAGCCCATCCTGTTGATGTGAGATTACCTCATACAAGAAAATAGGCAAGTGAAACCCAGCCAGGTCCACTCCTCTGTCCTCTCCCTGAATTCCTGCATTTCTTGTTTGTCCCTATAATTATCCAATTCCTTTTGGAAACCATGGTTGAATCTAAGTCAACTTTAATCTCAGGCAGTAAAATCAAGGTCCTAACTATTCACTGTGTAAAAAGGATTTTTCTTTTGTTCTCTTTGGTTGGATTGCCATTCACCTCAAATCAGGGTTCTCTGGCTCTCAAATCTTTTACCAAGAGGAATGGTATTGCCATCTCCACTTTGTTTCGACCTCTCAAAACTCTGAGGTCTTCCAGCAAACCTCCTCTCAGTATGAAATGAGTTATGATGTATTACAGGAGGCTTGGGCAGGAAATCTGTGGGGCAGATAGGTGTGAGGAATTCAACTGAGATTGGACATTAGAATTCCATGGGATAAACTTCCAACTTGATGACCTGCTGTCCAAATGTGGATATAGGTCATTATAAAAACTGTTCATTGATTTAAAAACAAATTAGGCAGTTTCTATACTGAGCAAGCAAAATGAAAACACATTGAATCTTGTTAAAGGGCATCAAACTCTGAGAAACAGGTAGCTTCCTCCATATAGACCAGTCAATGAATTGCACAAGGTCTCTGACTTGGTTATTTTGGTATAGTCATTAGCCCTCTCAAAGTAACTGGTTAATGACTAAAATAAAAATAAAAAACATGAGAAATGTGCAGTAGGTCTGGATTGGAACATTGGAACAAAAGCAGATGGGATGATTATTCAAATGTTAGCCATCAAGATTGTTCCACTGCCATTCAATTAGATTGTGGTTGATCTGCAACTAAATCCATTTACTTGCATTCACTCCATATTCCTAGATAGTTTGCCTCATTAAAGAGGCCACAGAATGGCTGATATTGGAAATGGAGGTGTCAGATTTAGAGTTTGTGGTTAAGACTTAAGTTGGGAATAAGTGCAGAAGGAGCTATACTCTACTACAAGACCATGAGGACTGACTGTTGATGACCCCGGGTGACAGGTGTGAAAAGGAGCATTTCATGCTCCATCACTGACAACCTTTAAACCGATAAAGATCATACTCAATGATATTCGTTCCTGGAAAATAAATGAGATAGTGAACATGATGCATGCATTGTATGGGTCATTTTTATGAAGTACAATAATTTTCTGACCTACCTTACACCACAGCCTACCTTTTTAACATCCCTGACGAGCTGGTACAAAGTGTTTGGTGGACCGTGTCTCTGAAACAGACAACACTGAAATCAGCAGAGTTTGCAAAAAGAGTCAGACAGTTATGCTGCTATTTCAGTGAGATCTCAGGAGCAGAGTTATCATACCTGCTTTAAAAAATGTAAAGTTAACAGCTGGACCACAAGATCCTTGAATGAGGCATCACAATGGATATTCACCATATGAATTTGAGCAGCAGTGCAATGGAACTGAATGACGAAGCTCCTAACAATACGGGACACAGTAGTAGAACGGGAATATTATTGGGTTTATAATACAGAAACCTCGGCTAATGCTTGGAGGGGCCTGGGTTCAAACCCCACAATGCCAACTGGTGAAATTTAAATTCAGTGCATTACAAACTGGAATTGAAAGCTAGTCTCAATGATGACCTGGTGTTGAACCTTATGTTTTGGGTGGCATGATGGCTCAGTAGTTAGCGTTTCTATCTCACAGCTCCAGAGACCCAGGTTTGATTCTAGCTTCGGGTAACTGTCTGTGTGGAGTTTGCACATTCTCCCCACCTGCGTGGGTTTGATGGATTGGCCATGGGAAATGCAGGGATGGGGTGGGTCTAATTGGGATGCTGTTTGGAGGGGCGGTGTGGACCTGAAGGGCTGAATGGCCTGCTTCCACACTGTAGGGATTCTATGAATTTATGAACAATAAACCTTAGCAGGCCTACAGCATGATCATCATTTGGATATTAAGCAACCCAGTTAGAGAGGTGGCTATGGACCTGCGAGTAGCATTAGCGCCTCAAAGCAAATAGGTTAAAGTCTTTCTCAAGACTCCTTCCAGACTGACATCCAAGCTGACATTTCCAGTGCAGTACAGAGGGAATGCTGCACTGTCAGAGATTCCCTATTTCAGATGAAATTTTAAACTGAGGCCACATTTGTAATCTCAAATGGAAGTAAAAGATTTTGAGGTTAGTTGGAGAAGAATGGGGATGTTATTCCTCCCCTCTTCCGAGTTGATATTTATCCCTTAATCAGCATCACACAAAGAAAAAGCAAATTATCTGATCAATAGCACATTGCTGTTTGTAGGAGTTTGCTGACTGCCACGTTTCCCACCTAACAGCCACGATGGCACTTCAGAAATAGTTCATTGGCTTGGAAGTTCTTTGGGTGTTGCTAAGGCTTTGACCAATGCAAGTCTTCCTTTAGAGTAGACTACTGGTTATTTTTTAGCGCCATATATACTGGATTGGAATCATGGGCTGTTTTGATGGATTACTCACTGTGTTGTAGAGTTCCTCAAGCCTGGAGATGGTGAGGAAGCGATGCATGCTCACCCCATTCTCAATCAGCAACTTCACAAAGTCTACACGATCCAGAACTAGAGCATCGAGCATGGCCTGCTCCAGGGAGCCCACCTAAATATCAACAGCAAATAGATCCATCTACAGTGGTATCAAAGGCATCATTCAGTCTGCACTCATGTAAACTCTTTAGGAATCCACCTTACTGAAGGATGGTAATGTCTACAATTTTGGGCGCATTACATACGCAAATAAGTGCATGTAAGTAAAGGAGTGCCAGGTAAAAAAGCCAGAATAAGTCTTAAAACAAGTAATTGTGTGTTAGTCCTGCAAAAAAGAAAATGATCAACCTGTATCAAACAACAGTCTGTCCTTGGCTAGAGGATGGTGTCCAATTCTGAGCCACACAGTTTGGGAAGGATGTGAAGGCGCACAAAGATTCACTAGGATGGCTCCACGATGAGAAACTTCAGTTACATAAATCGATCGGAGGAGCACAGTCCTTCTTGGAGAAGAGAGGGTTGAAAGAAGATTTGGTAGAGGTATTCAAATTAATGGGGGCTCTGGATAGAGCTGATAGGGAGCAAAGCTGTTTCCATTTGTGGAAGGTTTGAACAACAAAGGGCAGTGGTTTAAGGTGACTGGCAAAGGGAGTGACGGTGACATGAGGAAAGATTTATTTGCACTGCAGCTCCTCAGGATCTGCGCTGCTGGTGAGTGGAGACAGATTTTCAAATTGGCTTTCAAAAGAAAATTTGATCATTTTCTGAAGAGGAAGGGCTACAGGGAAAAGGTTGAGGATTGACACCAAATGAATGTCTCCTTCAGCATGGACACAAAGGTTGAATGGTCTCCTTCTGTATTGTACTGTTTCTATGATTCAAACCCTGGAGCAATCGAGACATTGCATCTTTAATCATCAATCTAAAAGGGATTAAGAAATACAGCTGGAATACATTAAATAAGTGACCGTAGGGAGGGAACCTGTTTACAGTGGGTTTGTGTTACAAATGGTTTGAAGGAAGAACAGAATGGAACTGAACTCCAAACAGTCCCATCTGTTTTTGCATGGACTGGTTGAAAACTGATAGAGTTACAAGGTGTTGACATAATACGGTTCCAACGTAGAGGGTGTAATTAATTATCTAAATGAAACAACATTGGCAATAATTTTTGAACTGATCTAAGTAAGCCTTGTGTAAGCATTCAAGATACATGAGGAGTTTATGTGATGTGAGTATATATGATTGCTACTTCTATCTCACATACCCTGCAGGGTCAAAGGTGATGGTTCATAATCTCATTGACTTGATTCAATGAAGATGTTTCATTAACATGATGTTTCAATGGTTTCCAGTCTCCAAACTTGGAGGAAAGACAAAGGATGCAGGACAGACTGTGCTAGTTTCAGTTCCAACTGAGAGATGATAGCTATCAGGAAAGAATGAACAGACTGTTGCTCTTTTCTCCAGGAGGTTGTTAAAAATAAAGGGTCTTAATGGGGCAAATGTGGACAATATGTTTCCACTTGTGGGTGTAACAAGAACTATGAGTCAGAAATATGAGATATTCTCAGATAAATTCAGAGAGTGATGAGAACATGAAATGCTCTACCGCAGGGAGTGTTGAGGCAAATGGTATAGATGTATTTAAGGGGAGGCTGGAAAAATACATGAGGGAGAAAAGATTAGAAAGACATTCTGATGGAGTGAGATGAAGGGGGTGGGAGGAGGATTGTATGGAGGATAAATGCTGGCCCGTGGACCAGATGGGCAGAATAAACTGTTTCTTCCCTGTTGCTATAATTCTTAATTTAGAACATCATTAGAGATTTTTAACTATTCTGACTCATTGTTGTCAAACTGTGACAGACTCAATGTGTAGCTATATTGCACAAACATGACAGAAGCTAAATAAAGCCATGAAGGACGTTGTCCAAATTTTTCACTTCTGATACACTGGGCGCAGAATCCACATTAAACTGTGGAGGGCGGTGTTTCCTAAGATATCAAATCATTCTTTGGCAGAGAAAGAGAGGAATAGAAACAGAGGGGGCAAGGAACTGGACAAATAGATGAAAACTGTTTCCGCTGGCAGGGGCATTGGCGACCAGTGACAGAGAGGTATGGTAACTGACAAAAAAAATACACAGGATGAGATGAGGAGGAAGAGTATTTTTACTTAGGTAGTTGGGATGTGGAATTTACTGATTAAAAATGTTCAACAGTAACTTTCAAAAGGGGAGTTGAATAAATATTTGAAGAAGAAAGAATTGCGGGGCCCGTGGGGAAAGAGCAGAGGAGAGTGAGATTAATTTGATAGCCCTTTCATAAGAGTTGACACAAGAAGGAGGAGCTGATTGGCCTCATTCATGCCACAACATTCCTTAAACCAGATTAGACCTCAAAGAAGAGGCCAAAGAAACAGTTTTAACAGAATTACCAGTTAACCAATGAAGGAAGTTTCAGAATTTTCCCTTCTGTAAGAATTATTGCAACGCACTAATAAAAGTTGTCCCAGACTCCCACTGTTAGACACCAAACAAATCTAATCACTGGCACCCTGCCTTCCCATGGCCAATTGGAAAACTAAAAGTTTTTTTTGGCGGCTAGTTCTTCAACATCCACCAAATCACCTTTCTTTCAATCAAAAATTAACTTCATAAGGTCGTTCAATAAATCTGAAACAAATCACAGAATTTTGCTTCGTGGCCAATGATGTTGCTTGCTGGATGCCTTTCCTGGAGACAATGTTCAAATCCCGGAATCTCCAGGGCACTGGGGTTGGCAAACCCAAATGATCCTATCCAATGATCGACTATCTCCAACCCCCTTTCTCCTGAAGGCCTTCTGTAGAATTGTAGAATGGTTGGATATGAGAAAGAGGCCATTTCGCCCATTGAGCCGATGTCAGGTCTTTGCAAATCCTCCTTAGCCGACTCTACTGCCTTTTCTCTATAGTTACAGCAAATTTTTTTTCCTTTGGATAATTATCCAATTTGCTTTTGAAAGGCATGACAGATTCACCCTCCACCTCACTTCCAGGCAGTGCATTCCACCTTCTCTCCCACCTATCTGCTCCACTATCTACCTGCTATCACCGCAACCACCCCGCTCTCTATTTATTTCAGAGCCCCCTTCCCCTCCCCCATTTTTGAAGAAGGGTCCCAACCCGAAACGTCAGCTTTCCTGCTCCTCTGATGCTGCCTGGCCTGCTGTGTTCCTCCAGCTCCACACTGTATTATCTCAGACTCCAGCATTGGCAATTTTTACTATCTCTGAGTGCATTCCACATCCCAGCTACTTGCTGTTTAAAAAAAACATTTTCCTCAGGGCATTCCTTTTTGTGCGAATCACCTTAAATCCGCTAAGGAGTAGCATCTCAACTTTTCAAATCTATCATCATGATGGAACTTCCTCATTCCTGGACACATTGATATAAATCTTTTCTGCACCCTCTACAATGCTTTCAGATCCTTCTTAAGGTGCAATGTCCAGATTCAAGCACAAATCTATTTGTTGCCAAATGAGTGTTTGATGAAGGTTACAGGAAAATAAGTTGGTGTGTATAACAAGCATTCAACCTGAGCCTGTCTTTTGATTAAATTTGGATGGAAGATGGGGAGGTGTCAGGTCGGGTCAGGGGATTGGAGCGGGTGTTGGGTTGGGTTGGAGGATGAGGTGCAATCTCAACATTTCCTGAGTAAATATCAGGCTTAAGTGAGTCAGAATCTCCAACATCTCCAACTTTAAGGGGTTTTATCAGAGGGTTGCAGGCCCAGGGGAATTGTTCATTGAGATTTTCAATTTCCTGGGCAGTTCCATGAGAGTCCAATGCATTGTCCTGTTGCACAACTCCAGTCTATGCTGTTAGACTGTCTGGCCATTGGAACATCAGGCTCAATAATTAAGAAAGAGTTGAAAATATCTAGCATAGAGAGGAAAAGTACGTTGAAATTGAGTTTCACTTAATAAATAGCAAATCAATGAAAATATAACACATGCAATGTATATTGTACTTGGGAAATAAAATGTGAAGCAAATTATTTACCATACCGGCCACTGTTGTCCATAAATAAATATTTGACTGCGAGCTATGTCCACTCTGTTCCAGGCCAAAGCTAAGCTGAGCTGGTCTGGTGCTGAGGCATTGGCTCCTGTTTATAAAGAAAATGGGAAAAAGGGTTGAGAGCACCTAGTCATTAGTTCCACATTCTTGCTGCAAATTTGAGTCATTGAATCCCTAAAGTGTGGAATCAGGCCCTTCAGCCCAACTAGTCCACACTGACACTCAGACCCATTCCCCTAATCTACACATCCCTGAACATTATGGCCAATCCACCTAGCCTGTACATCTTTGGACTGTGGGAGCAAACCCACACAGACACAGGGAGAGTGTGCAAAGTCCACAAAGACAGTTTCCTGAGGGCAGAATTGAACCCAGGTCCCTAGTGCTGTGAGGCAGCAGTGCTAACCACTGAGCCACCATGCCACCCCAATTTCCTCAGCACTTCTTTTGATTAGCTGTCTATTTAACATATTTTAATGTATTTAATGTTGTAAAATGTTCCCAAAAGCACTGCATGAGAGTGGTATTAGTCAAAGGTTTGACACCAATTGCCACATAAGAGGATATTAGGATTAAGTAGAAGAGGTTTTGAGGAGCATCTGAAAGGTAGAGAAAGAGGCAGAGGGGTTTAGGGAGAGAATTCCCAGACCTTAAGGCCCAGCCGCCAATGATGGGAGTAATGGTAGTTGAGAATGCTCAAGAATGAAGGAACAGAAAGATCTTGGAGGGTTGGAGGACTCGAGGTGGTTACAGAGATAAGGAGAAGTGAGACTATAGGAAGGATTTCAACACAACATGTTTAACCTTAAAACTTACCGGACTGTGAGCTGATGTTGGTCAGCTAGCATAAAGGCAGTAGAAGAATGGGATTTCATGGGAATTAGAGAGATAGGCCTCAGATTTTCGGATGAGCTTTCATGCAATGGAATTTTAACCACAACCTCCAGTCTCAGAGGAGAGTGTGCTACCGACTGAGCCACAACCAACAGCCGCTTTGGAATGTGTTTCAGAAATTAGATGGGGGAGGAGATACGTTTTCTTGAAATCTGACAATCAAACAGGGAGGTCTCTCACATGCGTGGTTGGGGATGAAGGTCAGTGTCATGAACAATCCCAGTGAACTGTGGTTCTCCTCTGTTGCTGTTACCTGAATGCTTTCAAAATTTCAGCTCAGTGCACATGTTGTATTTTAATCATTGTTTGTTTCCCTTGTGCTTATTCATGTGTATGTAATTTTATAGTATAAAGATACCAGTGACCATTAATTAGGCCAGACATCATCTATAGTCTCATTCGCTGCACATTGCTGACAAAGGGTAACTGTTCAGGGCAGCCTGATGGCTTGCACCTTCGCAGTGTAAACACATGAATGTTCAAAGCAAATCTGTTCAGATTTTATTGCACTTTAATTCCCCAGAGACTTATTTATGAAGCTGACAAAGCAGTTAACACCTCTGCAGATAAACTGCTCTCTCTGAAATCAGCAAATTACTATTGTGTAAATAACACAAAAGACACACGCAGTGATTGGAGTGTCTTTTGAAATTGCCTGGTTGAGCTTTAAGTTAAGTAGTGGTGTTGACTGGGAATTGTTCAAGTAATGTGCTTCATTTTCACAAGCGCTATATTTACTGATGAGTGAGATCTGTCTTCTTTTGTTGGGTGGAGGGGGAGGTTTTCTTGTTCTGGGTGTTAATGACAGAGGTTGGAGGAGTGCACAGTCGCTTTAGTTCCACTACTCCATGGAAAGATTGGAAGAGTGAAGAGTGGAAGATTGCATGAGGAAAATCACTGCAAGCCACAGTGGATCAGATGCCAAAATACTGCGACTGAAAATGGAAAATTTCTACTCACTGAGACATCTAGTTAATTCTATCTCTTTGGGCAATGACATGCCTATTACAGCCTGCTCTCCAGTTGGTTCCCTAGCATGTTCTAAAAATCTATCTTGAAAGCATTCACAATTGGTACCAGGGCTATCGTTTCCCATCTGATATTACCGATTGATGCACAAATTAAAATCTCTCATGGTAATTGCTGCGCCATCATTTTTTTCTTTCCTGTTCTACCCTAAAGTGCAGTTATTGTTAAGGCCCTGTGTATCATTTCCACAAGTTCTTGCCTTTATCATTTCTCGTCTTTACCCAAACTATTTCTACATTCTGGTTGCCTGAATTAGGGCATCTCTCTCTGTTGTGCTAATACCATCATTAGCTAACACAGAGTCACCTTTTCCTAGCTTCCTAACCCACCTAAATGTGCTGAACCCATCAGTATTCACATCTGAATCAATGTTATTTTGGAGCTAAGTGAGTGTAATGGCCACCAAATCGTATTTATTTATTTCTATTTGCACTCTCAGCTCATCTGTTGCATTTTGAATGCTACATGCATTCGGATGCAAAGATTTTGATTTTCTCCTTTTTGTAACCTCTAGTCTTAGCTGCTGACTTACGCTTAGATTTGTATTCTCCAGCCTTCCTGGCTCCGTCTGTTTATCATTTCCCATATTTATACCTTTCCCTATTGCCTTGGCTCAACTTGATTTGTTATATCTTCCCAAATTTAATCCTTTTCCCCTGCTATCTAGTTTAAAATCCTTTCTAATTCCCTTGTTATGCAGCTGGTAAGAAAGCTCAGCACGATTCAGGTGCAGACAGTCCCTTTTCTGATGAAGGGTCTAGGACCGAAATGTCAGCCTTTTTGCTCCTATGATGCTGCTTGGCCTGCTGTGTTCATCCAACTCTGCACCTTGTTGTCCCCATCTGTTCAGGTTCTGCTTTCCCCAGTGTCCCATGAATCTGAATCCTCTTCTCCCACAATAGTCTTTGAGACAGATATTCAACTCACTATGCCTACCTCATATCTCATGCAGTTTTAAAATCAACCTCTAAGTCAATTTGAAGGTGCATAAAATTGGGAGTGAACATGTTTATACCTCCACATGGGACCTTCTTGATGGCATACAACATGTTTAAATTGCACCTTGAATTTGAAGGGGCCACAATGGTCTAGTGATATTATGGGTAGACTATTAATCATTGTTAGTTAATTAATCTTCTGGGGATCCAGATTTGAATCCCACCATGGCAAATAATGGAATTTGAATTCAATTTTAAAAATCTGAAATTCAGAGTCTAATGGTGACCACAGAACCATTGTCAATTTTCAGAAAAACCCATCTGGTTCACTAATGTTTTCTAGAACCTTTATGGTCCTCTTGTCTATATGTGACTCCAGACCCACAGCAATGTGGCTGACCCTTAACTGCCCCCTGGGCAATTAGGGACAGGGAATAAATGCTGAATCCTGTGAATCAATAAAGAAAACTTTGTGATTTCAATCTCACACATTTGACTGTCTCCAAATCACATTTGATTTACATGAGGAAACTGCAAAGCACGTCAACTAATCTAACACCCCATTCTTTCACAGAAATCCTTTAACACTCTAGATGAATATTAGACAATGTATAGCATAAGTTGACTAGATAAACGGTTTAGTATGACTGATTAAATGTTAGTTTGCTAACATTTTACAGATATTGTGAAGGTATCATCAAACCTTATGAAGGATTCATTTTCTACACTGAATTGATTGTATTTTTAGCAATAACATGGTTTTTATACGACAATAGTTAGAATATTGAAAGAAGAATGAACTGATTGATGACAGCTATAAAAATAACTGAAGAAAGAAGTGACTTCTGGTGAATATTTGGTCGAATGGTTTGCTCAGATTCATTGCTCTCTTCTCTTTATGTGGCATAGAGAGATGCCCAACAGTGAACCACTCAGCAATAACGACAACTTGCATTTACTTAGTGCCTTTAATGCAGTAACACATCCAAAGGCAACTCCTGGGAGAGTTATCATATACAGTTTGCCACCTAGGCACACAAGAAGTAATTAGAATAGGTGACCAACAGGTTGATCATTAAAGACAGATTTTAAGGAGCAAAGTGGAGAAATGGAAATGTTTAACAAAGGAATTCCAGAGTTTATGGCCCAGGCACCTATAGACATGGTCACCAGTGGTGGAGTGATGGGAATTGGGGATGTGCCAAGGGGCTAGAATTAGAGGTGCAGGGATTTCAGAGGGTGATAGGAAAGCAGAAGGGCATCAGTAAGAGAGAAGTAATTCAGCACATCTAGCCCAAATAGTGGAGGAAACTGTGTTACCTTTCAGGAGAGCTGTTAGAATGGCTAGATCAATGTCTTGATGTCCCTCTGATCCCATTCTGAAGACAGTAATCTGAAAAATAATAGAGGAATTAAGCCATTATTGTGTACAAGACAAACTTGGGGTTTTCAAGAGGGAAGTACTTGTATATTAAGAAAATCAGGTCTGAATGATGACAGCAATGTTAATCTGACTCAACTCCTCTTGCAGACCATTTTATATACATGCCATGATTCAGAACTGAAAGGCTGGACCATCTATCCAATTACACTAGGGTTACCAACATCAAGCAGATGGATTCCTGAAGGTTTCAACACATGACCCTTTGCCTCAAATGGTCCCATTTCCATATTCTTGCCATTGGTCTCATAAAGAGTGGTATCCTACAATCTCATGGCCAATTGATAAACAATCAGACTGTTTGGTTGATTCACAACTGTCAATTAAATAGCAACGAAACAGTCTGTTCTCCCCATATCCAATATCCCTTGCATAATAAACAAAGGCATTAGAAGAAAGCTTTTTAAAAATGATTTTCAATGTATTTCTTATGGGTTTTGCTCCCAGCAGTGCCCATGAGATTAATCTCCAAATCCCGGAAGATTGGAAACTCCAGTTTACACATTAATACCAATTAAGATCTACTCTAAAACCTTAGACATTAATACCAAACTTCAATTTGCTGCATCTACACATGGCTCTTACTAATTCCTGAATCCATCAACATCCCAGCTGCAGCGGTAATTTCCATAACTTGCTGATACTAATTCAACTCTTTCTTGGTCAACAGCATTAATTCTTTCACAAGTCTAGTCTGAATGTTAATGTCCCACTAAAAACAATGCAAGATGGAACTCTCGTACGTTTTTCATGATGTTGGTTGAGGGATAAATATTGGCCAGAATACTACTGAGCACTCTGGCCCTCCAGTTCACTGTTCTGCAATAGCTCAACAGGTAGCAGTCTTGCCTTCTAAATCAGGAGGATTGGGTTCAAATCCTACTCCAGAGGCATCAAAATTTAACCGAGCCTCATGCAGTAATGAGGTAGTTTTATATTGTGAGAAGTGCCATCTTTCAGTGGTGACCTTAAACAAAGCCCATCTGCCCTTTGGTCGCATAAGAATCTGTGGCACTGTTGCAAGGAAGAGCAGCCCTGGTTAATATCTGTCCCTCCATTAACACCATGAGAAAAGGCAGAAACCTGTATTTTTGTGTGGGCTTGACAAAACCTAACCTGTTCACCTTCCAAAGTGTGGTCCATGTATGACTTTGACCAGGACCTTTGCCTTTCATATAGGGGTTTGGTTCACAGTACAGGCATGATGGAGCTTATAAGGCGAACATGGGCAAGAATGTGCTGGTTAGAAGAAACCCACAATTCTCTGACACAGCAGCTCAATTCTCAATATTGCTTAGCAGACCCCTAAACCCCATCATACCCCATACCGAGCCATACCCTCTCAGATCAAAAATATCACCCTGTACCATCTCAGGTCAACTAAGGCCCTCCATGTCCCCCATATATGCTCCATAAAAACTTACCCAGTATGTATTATGTATAGTTCCCAGTAGACATGCACTAGCAAGAAATTACTTTCAAATCATTGGGAAAAAAAGCCCATTAACACTTGGGATTCAAACAAATGATTGTCCATTCTGGAAAAAAAAGCAACTACCTCAGTGTAATCAAAATTGAAATCACTAACATGCTTAATAGTTTGTTAACAATCAAAAAAGCACATCAAAGACAAAAGTTTCAACTATTCTTGGGTCAAGAGACCATCGTCTAAGCAGAAGCCATTACACACTTTCGAAACTCAACCAAGCAGTCATAATGATGACAGTTGTTGCAATGAAAACCTCCAGCTAGATTACCGGAAACAGATAGTACAAAGAGTGTTCCATTTCTATTTCACAGCAGAGTGCTTGTCAATCAATGGAGGAGACCAGATGCACAGATTCCTTTTAAGGTTCAAAAATAGAGACTACTTTACAGCCAGCACTGTCAATTGATTTAGATTAAAGCACAAACAGATGAGGCAAACTGGCTTTTGCTCTTACATTTGTGAGTATCATGGTACTTTTCACAATTGAAAAAGAAATGTAACATGTAACAAGAATTACAAATCCTGGTCGATTTCCAGAAAAGGTCTGTATTATGTGTTATTTCACTAAAACACATTATTGCACTATAATACAATATTTTATATTTACCTTTTTGAATGTTCTGGACTCCTCAGTTAGGCTGCCCTCAGTCACCATGACCCCTTAAATGAGGTTCTTTATTTTAGGGGCTTGCAAAACCACACTAGCAGATATTAAAAGTGTATAGAAGGAAATACAATTTAGCTGTGGTGCTCACAACAGGAACCCCACACTCAGTAAAGGTGTGTGCACATGTTGCACCCAACACCTTCTCAATCTCAATTGGTGGATAGTAAGGGCACAGAGAAATGGTTTCTCCGGCAAAAAGAAATTGAAGTTTAGCATTTCATGCCCTCCGTAGGAAGACAAATGTTCAGCCAAGATTATCTGATCATTATCACATTACTCTTTGTGGGACAACAAGGTGCAGGGCTGGATGAACACAGCAGGCCAAGCAGCATCATAGGAGCAGAGAGGCTGACGTTTCGGGCCTAGACCCTTCATCAGAAAAGGGGGAGGGGAAGGGGGTTTTGAAATAAATAGGGAGAGAGTGGGAGGCGGATAGAAGAGGGATAGAGGAGAGGATAGGTGGAGAGGAAACAAACAGGTCGAAGAGGCGGGGATGGGGCCAGGAAAGGTGAGTGTAGGTAGGGAGTTAGGAAGGGGATAGGTCAGTCCAGGGAGGACGGACAGGTCAAGAGGGCGGGATGAGGTTGGTCGGTAGGAGATGGAGGTGCGGCTTGAGGTGGGAGGAGGGGATAGGTGGGAGGAAGAACAGGTTAGGGAGGCAGGGACAAGCTGGACTGGTTTTGGGATGCGGTAGGGGGAGGGGAGATTTTGAAACTTGTGAAATCCACATTGATACCATTGGGCTGCAGGGCTCTCTCCGTGACTCCCTTGTCCGCTCCACACTCCCCTCCAGCTCCACCACACCCGGCACTTTTCCCTGCAACCGCAGGAAGTGCTACACCTGCCCCCATACCTCCTCCCTCACCCCCAGCCCAGGCCCCAAGAAGACTTTCCACATCAAGCAGATGTTCACCTGCACATCTGCCAATGTGGTATACTGCATCCGCTGTACCCGGTGTGACTTCCTCTACATCGGGGAAACCAAGCGGAGACTTGGGGACCGCTTTGCAGAACACCTATGCTCGGTCCGCAATAAACAACTGCACCTCCCAGTCGCGAACCATTTCAACTCCCCTCCCATTCCTCAGACGACATGTCCATCCTGGGCCTCCTGCAGTGCCACAACGATGCCACCCGAAGGTTGCAGGAACAGCAACTCATATTCCGCTTGGGAACCCTGCAGCCCAATGGTATCAATGTGGATTTCACAAGTTTCAAAATCTCCCCTCCCCCCACCGCATCCCAAAACCAGTCCAACTCGTCCCTGCCTCCCTAACCTGTTCTTCCTCCCACCTATCCCCTCCTCCCACCTCAAGCCGCACCTCCATCTCCTACCGACCAACCTCATCCCGCCCCCTTGACCTGTCCGTCCTCCCTGGACTGACCTATCCCCTTCCTAACTCCCTACCTACACTCACCTTTACTGGCTCCATCCCCGCCTCTTCGACCTGTTTGTTTCCTCTCCAACTATCCTCTCCTCTATCCCTCTTCTATCCGCCTCCCACGCTCTCCCTATTTATTTCAGAACCCCCTTCCCCTCCCCCTTTTCTGATGAAGGGTCTAGGCCCGAAACGTCAGCCTCTCTGCTCCTATGATGCTGCTTGGCCTGCTGTGTTCATCCAGCCCTACAACTTGTTGTCTCGGATTCTCCAGCATCTGCAGTTTCTACTATCTCTGACTCTTTGTGGGAGCTTGCTTTATGGTTGCTGTATTTCCTGTCGTAAAGCATTCCAAAAAGTATTTTGTCCCCGTAGAGCACCTTAAGGCATTATGAAAGGTGCTGCAGAAATACAATGTTTTCATGAGTGGAATGTAATGGCTAGCACAGGCCAGTTGGGCCAAATGGCCTGGCTCTGTGCTGCAAAGCTCTTAACTTTGCAGCACAAATATGATATTGAAAGATCTCTTTTTTAGAATCAACCTAAGAAGACGCAGCTGGGACATCCCTAATAGCTGTGCTGGTGCGTATGGTGTGGTGGTGCCAGTGTTGGATTGGAGTGGGCAAGTCAACTTCACCTGACAAAGGAGCAGCGATCCAAAAGCTTGTGATTTCAAATAAACCTGTTGGACTATAACCTGGCATTGTGTGACTTCTGACCTTGTACTGGTACGTACACTGCTGAATGTCGGAGTGAGCCAACTGCTCAAAGATCCCAGATTCGAGCTCTGGTCTGTGCTAAGTCAGCAGATCTCATGGTAAAGGCACTGTATTAAATCTCACTATCTCTCTTTTTGTGAAGTAGAAAGAAGGCTTCCTTGTTTCTGGTTGAAAATGGCAACACTGGTAGATGCATTAAAAGAGTCAAGCTCAGTTAGTAATGCCTTTGCAGTTGAATAGCCAACCAACACCCACTTCCTGGGGAACCCATGAAGGATAAACCAATTGAGAAGATTTCCTACTTCTATGCAACTGTTCAAAGGCAAGATGAATGGAGAATGGACAAGATCTATGCTTGCATACTGCTTTTATCACATGTTTGGAAAAGTTTTAAAGCATACTCACAATCCAGTTTATATCACCAAGAAGCAGGTTTAATGGTGCTTTTTGTAAAGGAGAATTCAATAAGCATTTGACAAGGAACAACATTTGTTGGAGTGGTTCTGAGGAAGGGTCACCAGACCCAAAAAGTTAACTCTGATTTTGCTCCACAGATGCTGCCAGACCTGCTGAGCTGTTCCAGAAATTTCTGTTTTAGTTTCTGATTTCCAGCATCCGCAGTTCTTTGAGTTTTTTATGGTATTTGTACAGTTACAGGGAAAGAGCAGAGGGTGAGTCGGACTAAATGGATAATCCTT